ATGAAGCCAAAACAGCAAGTGGTTAGGAGAAGAAACCAGACCCAGAGCAGGCCCTACATGGGACCCTTAGCTGGCCAGCTCCAGGCCCTACTGCTCAGAGCTCACTGGGCCCAGGCATGGCCGCCTTGGTAGAAGCACTGTCAGCAGAGGCCGTGAATGAGGCTACACGAGACCCTCTGCTCCTGGGGGAAGGCACCCCCTGCCTCACTCATGGTCTCTCCACTGCACACACTAAGGACACGTGTAGACAGTGAGGGTTTCCAGTTTCCAGAATTCAACATTTGTCCATACACATATTGTCTCTTTTCTCTCATTGGGATGTAAGCCAACGAGTGGCAAGATTTCACCTGTGTACTCAGTGCTATATCTGCAAACCTCAGAATGCTGCCTGGCACGTAATGGGCGCGCACACCCCTTTCTGTACAATGAGCACCCACTGCGTCCTCCACACCTCATGTGATGGGGCCACCTGACTCCCTGCCCTCCGAGAGTCTCAGTCTCATGTGCACTGCTTGTGGCCTTGTCTGAGCAGCTTTAAATTGAAACCACAAGAAACAGTTCTCAGATAACTTCAGACATCGTTACATTCAGTTAGTTTGGGCTCATGGTGCTATGACGCACTAGCCAGGCCTTTTCTTCCCACCCCCTCGCTCTTCCCCATCCTGCCAAGAGGGCAGCACCTCCAACAGGGGAAGGACAAATGATGGGAAAGGAGATAAAGTTTAGTCATTACATCTGTGCCCAACCCCCTGGAAGACACGAAGGCTAAAGACCCCCGTTCTGGAGTAATTCTGGAGTTCTCTCTGCTCTTCTGGTTCTGTCCTTTTGTAATAAGAAGATCATATGGGATAGAATTTCTAAATTCTATAAAAATTAGAAACACAGAAATGAGCTGGATTATGCCGCTTGCAGTTACTTACTCCCGAGAACCACTAGGCTTGCAGCAAGACGGGAATCTTGAAGGAAGTCTTTCTAACGGAGCCGGCCCACCACCTTGTGGTGAATGTGCGCAGCTGCAGTTAGCGATTTACACACGGGATTTGCCATTTGGGTTACAAATTCAGATTTTTGAAAAATTCTGCCAGAAGTGCTTTTCTTTTTAACCTTGCCATATTAAGAAATAGAGTTACAAAATATTCATCACATGCTTTTTTTAAAGTTTGATTTCCAATGATTCTGCCCTATGTATCAGTTCATTTTGCTTCCCAAAATGCCTTATGAATGGCAAAATTTTCCAGGTAGGCTCATCCAAAGAGGAACCTGGACACCTCATCCCTCACCTGTGACTGAATCAGGGAAGGGAAGGATGGGCGGGGTGAAGCCCCCCGAGCTTTCCATTCAAGAGAACACTGTTCTAACCAGCCCTGCTCTGCTTCCGTCCTCTAATAACATAGAAGCAGTTGGAACCACAGTCTTAAAAGTGAGGTCTGCACTGAAAAGGATGGACGAGCAGGAACATTTTCAGAAGAAAATAGGTTTGAAAGCTTACAGTCAAAGTAAGTGGAGCAGAATACTGCATGCATTCCTTTCTTAATTTTGGCCTATGATGTTAAAAAAAAAGCATAGCCATATTTTCTATGGATTTTAAAATATCTTTGGATTTGGCTTCTCAATCATATGTAATATATACAAAAATACAATATTCAAAATGTTCCACATATCAGGATCTGACGATGTCATTTTACTGTGTTAACACATATTGGTACCTGTAATGTGGCTACTTTGATTTTAGATAAAGCTAAACTCTTGAGCCCCAGACAATCCTGGAGAGGCCCACTGGCCACCTCCCAGAATCATATTCTTATTCTGTCTCTCTCTGACATCTCAGTTCCATTAGAAGTTAATAGGAAATTTCACACATTTAATTTTTATAACAGTGTGTTATAACCTATGTGTATAGTACATCAGAAAGAAAGAAAGAAAGAAAGAAAGAAAGAAAGAAAGAAAGAAAGAAAGAAAGAAAGAAAGAAAGAAAGAAAGAAAGAAAGAAAGAAAGAAAGAAAGAAAGAAAGAAAGAAAAGAAAAGGAAAGGAAAGGAAAGGAAAGGAAAGAAAAGAAAAGAAAAGAAAAGAAAAGAAAAGAAAAGAAAGAAAAGAAAAGAAAGACAGACAGGGAGGGAGGAAGGAAGGGAAGGAAGGGAAGGAAGGGAAGGAAGAAAGAGCGAGCGGGCATTTGGAACTACTTTGCCCCAGGTAAAAATTGGTTAGGTTGGTTACAAGTCTATCACCAAAAAAGGTAGGTGACAATCGGGGCGGGGACAGGAAAACAATCAGAAAGGAGAGGAAAGTAAAAGAAAGGGAAGGCAGCCAGAACAGTCCAAACTCAAAATGATTTCCGCCACTTTAGCACCATCTGGTTGCACAAGGGCTTGGGTGCCCAGGACCACCCCTCAGCCAAGAGACGCTGGATGTAGCGGGTGAGAAGCTGGAGGCTGGCAGGGCGGAAGTGAGACCAGAAGCAAGAGCGCAGACACACAGATAAACGTTTGAGTTTTAAATCTTTTTAATAACTTTTCATTTGTTCTTTGTTTACACCTACATGACATCAGAAAAGCAAGAACATTTTAAGAAGAAAAAAGTCAGAAAGTTTAAGAATGAATACTGAAATTGAGGACAATTCAGGAAAACACTTGCGTGCTATTCACTGCCATGGACAGACCAGAACCCGAGGTTGTTTTATGACACAAAGCAACCCGTGCTGTTTACTAACAAATCAGTTCACAATACCTTCTCCCCTGCATCAGGGACTGCCAGGTCGGCTCCCACACCCTGGGTCCCAGGATCCACATCCCAACAGCCTCTTCCTCCTGTCCCTTCTGTGACTAGTGCTGGAAGCACACCATTGAGACAGAAACAAAAAGGACATCATCAAACAGCAGCCAGCGGACTGGGTTCTTCTGTGTACAGCTGACACATATTCCAAAACAAGACAATCACAAAATCACACATAGCGAATATTCTTACACGAGGTGCAACAGCGGTACAGAGCCAAGTGCAGGGTCCCTGCCCTCAGGGAGCTTACACGCTAGCAGATGCCAAACTGATGAACAGCCTGCACTGTCACTCATCCTTTTCTTTTCTTTCTTTCTACCAGAGGGATGTCTGTGTGATGTCTGTGGTACCAGAGGGTAGGATCTGGCGTCTCATTTTCACCTAATGGGAAGACCTGACTGCAAATGGTAAAATTAAAAACAGGCACCACAGAAGAAAAGCAAGGGCTGGCAGACTGGCTAGGGAGACTGGTCTGGGAAAGGCTCCCTCCTGGCCAGTACAAGAGCAGCAGACCATAAACAAGGTTAGCAAGGAGGAGGAGTCCAGTGGCAGGAATGAAACCTCTTTCTAAGCAGGTGAAGATGCCAGTACTCTATGAGCTCAGTCATACAGACTGAGAAGTTGTCATGACCTCCAAGTAATTCATTTTTTGAAATAATTTCCAAGTGTGTTTTTTCCCTTACAGTTCTTGCTTATGCTCTAAATTCACCAATACCATAAATACTGTGTATTTAATACATGAAAACACAGAAATATTTCTAGTCCAGAAATATGTTTTAAGTATCAAATATAGATTTTCACTCCACCCATTAAATCTCTGTCAGTGGGATTTTGTTTATTTCTTTACCCACGTGAACTCAGTTAAAACTTACATCACGCTCACTGTGCATGGATTAAAACAAGGCTTTCCAAAGCCCTTTCTTTATTCATTGGAACCAGGTCCAATCAGGACCCTGGTGAAACAGATACTCACTTCATGACACTTTCTAATTTTTTTTTCCCAGTGCTATCTTGAGACTTTATTTCTGACGAAGGAAATACTTTTTCTTTATTTAAATTAATTAGAAAACACTTAGGTCTAGGGGAAAAGACAGTCTTCGAAGATTCCAAAGGTCTCTTTTATTGCAAAGATGCTTTTGTTTAAGCCAAAACTGCTTCAAATTACATGAGCTAAAAATTAAATTTATTTTGCCCAAGCTAGTCAATGCTTTTTCACGACAGAGAAGGAACATCTCACAGACTTTTCTGTCACTCAAAAAAATTGTTTCACTCTTGGGTACTATTCTTAATTCCTAGAGAGATGCCAAAAGTGTTACTAAAGAATTGGCCAATCTTGCTTCCCTTCATAGATACGAGGACCATCAGACGGGGAAGGGAGCTGATGGTGAGCCGGATGAAGGCAGAAGGATGGCAAGCCTCAGGTCCCTCTGCTCCTATATCCTATTTCAGAGTCAACAAGAGGGTGTCCATAATTTTACAGGAAGTAGATTATATCCATCCACCTGATTAGGTATATTGAGGACTAAAAATAGGGGGCTTGACTTGGTCTACAGCCTCAGACTGACATGTGACTAACGTGGAAGGATCCAGTCCTCAAAGTTGATCATGGAACTGACCCATTCAGTGACAGACCCTCATTTAGGATAGTGCTTTTCACCCTTATCAATGTTATAAAGAGAACCAAACTTGCAGCACCGTGTTCCAATGCAGCCCACCCCAAGACTAAAGCAGTCCAAACCCTACCAACCTGCCCCTCCTCTACATGAACCCACTGGAAAGAGCCTCTCAGTGGTTCTAGCAGATGTCATGGGAGATGTGGGTACAGACAGGGAGAGCCCTGGTGGCGTGGTCTGAGGGGAGGGTGGGTGCGGCCCCGAGCAGCTGCAGGAGCCGAGCGGAGCCTCTCCCGCTGTCCCTGGGGTGAGGCTGAGAGCAGCAGATCTCTACGTGTATTTTTAGAGAGAACTTCCTCAATGGCATAATGAGGTTCTTCTTTAAAAAGGAAATCACCCAGGGCAGGACAAGTCCCCTGACGAATCTGGGCTGTGTCGAAATGAAAAACATATGTGCACATTCTGAAAATAGAAACCCAGGATTAGATAAAGTAGAACTAAGAGGGGAAAATAATTATTGGGGCTGGTGGAAAAAAAAAAGAAGTATAGAATTTAAAACCTTTACTGCTTGCATACATCTTAATTAACCAAGAGATGCTGTTAAAGAAATTCTAAAGCAGTTCAATCCTCCAGCCTCTAGCTACTGAAGACACTTTCTCTTGTGCATAGAAGACCTAGTGCAAGGACGGTTTTTCACCATCAGAACATAATGAAAGATACATTCTTCATGTTCGTACCGCAGGAACCCCTAGGGAATTGAGTATTTAGCTCACAGCTATACCTGTAACAATATAATTAGGTTCTGGGAAATTACCTAAATCAATTCTCTACATTCTATTTTTCTGTATTTAAAATCTATTGAAACGCTGCTTAGTAAGTGAATTCTGACCTGAATTAAAGGGTATGACAATATTTTGGCACTTCTGCCTTTACCACAACACCCAGCCTCATGTGTTGTGTGTGTGTGTGTGTGTGTTGTGTGTGTGTATGCATTAGGTTCCAGTTTCCTGAGTTAACGTTTTCTCAGTTGATGATGTGAGATGAAGTTAAAAGACTTGCTCTCTAATGATCTGCAGGGAACCTCTTCCAAAAAAGCAAACAATGGAAACACTCTTTCAAGACTGTCCTCAGTAAGTCACGCCACGTGTGAGGCAGGGGAGGGTCTGGGGAGGGACGCAGCCTGCCTGGGTGACAGCGCTGTCACCTACCAGCTATTCTTTACGTCCTCCTTCCTGGAACACCAGGGTCATGATCATCCATAATGGAGGCTAGCATATTTATTCTCAGGTTTTTTCTAAAAAATACATTCAGTGCCCCCAAGTGGGGACAGAGCCGTTGTCTTCATTTTATGCAGCCACTGTATGCTGCAGGGACTGTGCTGGGGCTCACCGCAAAGGCTGCACGTTCACTTACAAGCAGGAGGCGATCCTGACGCGCCCGGAGGGCTGAGCACATCCTGCAAAGCAGGCTCTCCGCAGCCTTGCTCCGATGACCGGCTCGCGTCGCTCATTTGCGAGGCCCTCACTGCCACCTGCAGGCTCTCTGCTGAGGAGGGGGAAAACAAAAGTAAACTTATAGATATAAGTATATATATACAGTTTAATAGACCAGGGGGTTGGCAAACTGGATTTGGCCTGCATCTGTTTTTATATGGCCCAAGAGCTAAAAATGGATTTTACATTTTTAAAGAGTTGTTCAAATACACAGCCATGCACACATACGTGCACAAAGAAGACTGCATCCCCAAACCTGTATACGGCCCGCAGAGCCTGGAATATTTACTGTCTGGCCCCTTACAGGCAAGGTTTACCAACCTGCAATCTAGACCAATACTTCTAGCACCATTTTATGATAGAGAATAATTAAATTAAAAAAACCCAAACTCACAGTACACAAATCTCAAATACAACCTTCTGTAAATTAGTAGGCTAAAAAAAAACTTTCTGAAATTCAGTTAATTTAAATAAGTTATCAGGCAATAGCATTTTATAACTTGCTACTCAGAAATATTAGTTATTCTTCAAAAGAGTATCTCCCCAAACATGCCTTCAATACAATACAGATTCCCAATCCTCTAGACTTACTGGATCAGATTCTCCAGGAGAGAAAACAGGGGATGTGAATTTTAAAGAAGCACCACAGGCTGCTCTTAGGGTCTGGTAAGACTTGGAAACACCGCACCAAGAAAGGGAACTTTTCATTCACAATAAAGGCTTTGCAGCTAGCATGTGGGACAGTACACACATCTCTAAAATGCTCTGTCCAGGGATTCAACTCAGCAACCACTCCCCGAACGTTGGCTCTGCTCTCGGGGCCACTGGGCGTCTGCTAACTAAGAAGGAGAGTTTGCAGACGAGGGGCAAAGGGACATAACTAACCGCACGACAGGTCAGCGCACCCTGGGTGCTTCTCCATTCTGTCTTCCAGGCCTGAGAGCATCACAACGTGCCTGGCAGCACGGAGGAGCAGGGGGTTACAGGAGCCAACATGTTTAGGTGAGGAAAAGTCCTTAAAGAGATCACTGAGCAGAGAACCCTGAAGGATGGATGGTTCAAGAGGCAGGGACAGAAGAGGAGAAAGGAGGGAAGAAGGGCAGCAGAACAAAGCCCCAGGAGGTGAGTCAGGGTGCACGACCCAAGCGTTTGCTCAGCAGGTAATCACCCCACCCTGACAGGACCTCCTGCCCCTGCTCACAGGCTGGGTGTTGATGATCAGAGACTCAGAGGGGATTATCTGACCTGTGGCTCAGGCAGCACCCCCATTGCTCTGGGTTCCCCTGAGCAGCTGGTGAGCCAGAGGAATTAAAGCAGATGGACTTACAACCAGACAAAACTGAGCGATAGCTTTGGTGGGGGAGGAAGTGAAAGGCACTGGCTGAAATTGAGAGTAGGCAACGTATTCAATCGAGACAGCATCAAGGATGATGAGAGGGTCACCGGCTCCTGTCAACCTGTTTGAAAGTCTTTTTGGCTTTCTTTCTAAAATCTATCTTGCATCTGCACATTTCTCTCTACTTGCATTATTGACAGTCCCAGTCTAGGCCGAGGCCCCAGCCTCCCTCACCGCGGCTTCTGTAACTGCTTCCCAACAATCTCCAGGGAAACTCATCTCCTTCCAGTCTGTTCTCCACTCAGTCGCCCACGTTCCTTTCCGGAAAGAAATAAGATCATGCTATACCCTCAATTAAAAGTGTCCAACAAACAACTTTCCATTGATTTTGGAATAAAATCTCCCCCTCTCTCTCTCTTTAACCACAATCTACAAAGATCTGGTCCCTGCCCACCCCAGAGCAGTCTCCCCTGACTCCTGCCACCTGCCGCCTGCTCTTTCCATGAACATGCCAAGCTCATTCCACATGCAGGGGCTACACACTGGCTCTGCTCAGATGTCCAGACAGCTGGCTTCTCCTCACCCGTCAACTCTCTCCTCAAAGCATAATCTCTGAGCAACCTTTCCTGACTTCCCTATAGCACAGCCTTCCCCTCAGTCAATCCCAATGTCTTATTTCCTCGTGACTTTCTGAAATTATCTTGTTTCTTTGTGTATTGTCTATCTTCCCCAACGAGAAGTTTTTAGGAAAGCATCACTGCTCCCTTCATTGGCACTAACAACAGTGCACACAGTAGATGCTCAGGGAATATCTGATGAATGAGTCAGGCCATCAGTGGACGCCTCTGATGCCCTTATGACCTTCGTTTCCTCAACTGTGAAACAGAAACAATACATTCCAAGATTACTAAATTCTCTTTCTGAGGTCATGTTCTGAGATTCCAAGACAGAGCTTGGCAAACGTTTTCTGCAAACGACCAGACGGTAAATATTTTAGGCTTTGTGGGCCCTATGGCCTCTGTTACAACGATTCATCTTTGCCACTGCAGTGAGAAAGTAGCCAGAGACGACAAGTAACAAGCAGGCATGGCTGTGTTCCAATAAAAGGACAGCTACAAACACAGGCGGTGGGGCCGTGGGATGCATTGAGTCTGTGGTCTGTAGTTTACCAGCCCTTGTGCTAAAGGACAGCATTCCCTGCCACTGTCAGCTGGTGGCTGTTTTATTTCCCAAGCCCTCTGTCCCTATGGACTTTTTGGCCCATTTCCTCCCTAAACCTGTATTTCCCCTGAAGTTCATGCCATCAGTTGACACCACTCACTGGCCCTCCCGTGGCCGCTCATCTACAGACTCCTTGGACAACGTGGCACCAGGTGCAGGTTCTCCCACCACCCCCATTGCCACTCTTGTCAAAATTCTTTGTCCTTTCAATTCTGTGAACATAGTCCCTCCAGTACCCTGGCCTCTCATCTCCCTACCTTATTCACCTTCAGTGATCTTGTTCTCCACCCGAACTCAGCCACCAGCTCCCATGGTTATATCCTAAACTGCTATTCTCCACGCAGCAGTCAGAGGGTTCCTTTCAAAACACAAGTGAATTCACTCCTCCACTCAAAACTGTACTGTTTCCCTTCTTACTGAGAATGAAATCTGACAACCTTGCCTTGATCTGGTTCATGTAATCTGGGTCCTAGTTAGCTCTCACTCATCTCCTGCCTATCTCCACCTCTGCCTCTCTCTGACTGCACTGTCCCCCATACTGTTCCTCAAACAGGCCTGGCACTCACCTGCCTCAGGGCCTTCGCACCTGCTCTTCTCTACATCTGCAATGTTCACTCCTCAGGTATCTACTTGGCTTTCTCACTTCCTTCTGAGCTGCTTACATATCACCATACCAAAGAGGCCTTCCCTACTCATCCTGTCTAAAATAGAACCTCCCCAACTCCATGACTCTCCATTCCCCTTACCCTTATTTTTATTTGTAGCACTTGAAACAACCTGACACACACATACATATATATACACGTTCACACATGTACATACACACACATACATATATACGTGTGTGTATATACACCCACACACACACATACACACACATACACATTTTTTTAAAATATTCCTCTTTCTGGAATAAGAGTAAGGACTTTGTCTTGTTCTGCTGTATCCTCAGCACCAAGACCACACTACGTAGCACAAAGTAGGCGCTCAATAAACATTTCCTGAATTTGTTGAACCAAATCCTTTTGGAAGCAACTTACCTTCTTTCAGTGCTGCTGCCAGTAATGAGGCTGCCTGGGGAGGCTCTCCGGGGTCTGGTTTAATGAGGAGGTGGGGCTCTAGATGGACATCCTCAAATCCACTCAGTTCTCCAAGTTCAGCATAGATATGCAGCTTCTCCTCCAAACATGTACAAATCTGTTGGTCTTGATTACTGAGTATTTCTAAGAAACAGTATTTACCGTAGAAGGTTATCACATGAATACAATATGAAAATTCAAGCTATAAGATAAAGACGTTGCTAACTGGCAAGAAGTATGGCCTAACAGGTCAAGTACAAGTTGTTGGTGACTGGAGCTTCCAGCAAATGACTTAACATCTCTGAGCATCCATTGTCTTTTCTGTAAGTCTGCTGTACTCAATAAATGTTCATTTCCTTTCCTATTCCCCTAATTCTAGAAAAACTTGAAAAGCCCATCACTGTTAACTCAGGCTGTTTTCTATTAAGACCAAATATGAAGCTGAGGAATGGAAATTGAGGCGGGACTGCCCACAATGAGCGCTACCCACAAGGGAGAACAATGCAGGGGCCTGGAACCGCTCGGCCTGCAGCCAGTCCTGGTCCAAACCACACAAACTGGTTGATGTTTTTGTTTCTCAACATCCAATTTCTTTAACCATCTTCGCATGCATCCTTTTCCTCTAATTTCGATGTGTCACAGAATCCTTAGAGCTTAAAGGGACCTTAACCAGCAGTGAATCCAGGGGTTCTCAGTCAACCTCAGAATCACCAAGGGAGAGTTTAAAATCCTGACGTCTATACCCCAACCCCCTCAGATTCTGGTGAATTGGGTCGGACCCAGGCATCAGAATTTTTAAAGACCTCCCCAAGTGATTCTAATGCCCAGCCAGAGATGAGAATCACTGAGCGCATCTAATTTCCTTACTTTGCAGATTTGGAAATTGAGGACCAGAACTATTGTGTTCCTTGTCCAAAGACATACAACCGTGACCTGACAGTACTGAGATCTAAAATCAAACCATCAGACAACAGCGCCAGTACCCATCTGCACCATACTGCCTGCAGTTACTGTTAGGTTTTATGCAGAATTTTTAAAATATATTTTTAATCACTAAGGAGGAAGGAGGGAGGGAGTCGTTTTATTTGAGCACTTTTAGTGCCAGTATTTTTTTTTTTTTTTTTGGAGAGGGGTCAGGGTGGGCCTCCGGTGCACAAAATTCATCATTTAGTCATAACATGCCATTCACGACAGCTGGGCTTTCCCAGCACCCCGGGAGAACCCCACGGCCAGGGAGCCGAGGTGCCTGCACTGTACCTTGGCATTGCTGAATTCTGGCCACTCTGGCTTCAGCTTTCCGCCTCTCTTCATCAGACTCGCTTGTCCTTCCCCCTTCCTCTTCTGGGCAACTTGAAAAGACAACAGCAAGAGAGACAACTGAAACCAAATCCAAGTATCTTTAGATTCATTAGAAAGACATGGGAACTTAGCAGGAGAATTATTCCGAGAAGAAAAATTCAGCATACAGAGAATTCATCATGCCCTCTGGCCAAAAGAGTTGGTTTTCTTAAGTGTATAACACACCTTGCATAATGTAACATAGCTCTCAAAGTCAGCCATTTAGGAGGACTCAAATACTCCAACAAACACTCACATACACAAACATACTCTCACACACACACACACACACACACCACCAATGCCAGCAGTAGGTACAACTAAAATCAGACATTTTGCTTTCTGCTGCATTTGGGCACGTCTGTTCTTCATGAGGGTAGAATAGAGATACTGGGGCGGGGGGAGTAGGGTGCCAGGTTGAGTGGGGTGCACTGGGGGTGGAGGAGTTTTATACAGCATCATTCAAGATCTAACTAATCAAATTTCCATTAAGAATGATCACCATCACCCTCACATCCCCATTTATAAAAGATGTCTTTGCACAATGAGAGATAAATTGATGTAGCACACTTAGAGCCACCAATCTAAAAATGTTTATTGAATGATTCTTCAGAATTAGGGACACAGAAACATAAGACATGGTCCTTGCCCTCAAGGAGCTTCCAATCTAACAGACAAACATATATATACATAAAAAAGACAACAGCTACAAGCACCAAGTGTGTGCTTTAGAGAGCAGGTGTTAAGGAACTTCAGGTAAGAAAGAGACCACTGGAGCTGAAGAGGTCTTCACCAAGGAGGTGAGCCATGCGCTGCACCAGGATGGGCAGGATTCACACAGGCAGAGGGAGATGGGGCGTTACAGGCAGCAAAGGTGCAGGTGAGGGGCTACGGCAGGCAGGGGCAGGGGTCAGGGAGTGCACCATCCTGGCTGAGGCTAAGTTTTCATGCAGGGGAGACATAGTTAGAAAGTTTTCCCCAATGGAGCAAGTCCATTCCCTCAATGATGGATAGAAGGAAGCGTTACCTTTCTACTGCCTGTTGGATCCGTCTCATCCAAGTATTTCGTTCCTCCTTGGAATTGGTATGAATTTCATACATCTCAGGACCAGCAGAGGAAGCGCTGATCAGAAACATCCCTCTCTCCTCATTCGCAACTTCTCGAGCAATCAGCTTCTGAAGGGAAATCACTGATGGCTTCTGATCCTACATAAAACAGGATGGGGTGCAGGTGAAGGGGTCTCACAAAACACGGTAGCTAAGGAAAGCAAGAGCGTTAGACAAATCTTTATTTCACTTCAACCTTTTCAGAAGAGCTGTGGAAGTTAGTAAGATCTCTGACAGAAACAGTATGGTGAAGAGATGGAAAAGGAGGATTATAGAACATCTGTCCTTAAGAATTGGTGATTTAAAAGGACAAGTTTTTAAAAGAACAATCAGAACAGCAAGAAAACAATATCAAAAATGGTGTAGTCAGGGATGGAGGGATTTTCCTAGAAAGGCACAGTTTAGGAAACAGTGTATCAAATACTACAAAGAAATGAAGAAGGGTGGAAGGCCTTAAGAGTCCACTGGATTTGGCAGTTAACAGCAACACTGTTTCAACAAGGTGATGGTTACAGACGCCCAAGAGTAGACTGTGAAAATGAAAGAACTGGGGGGGCAAGACCTCAGATTCCCCAGAACCAACGTCTTCTGCTACTGTGGTACCCAGCACAAGAGCCTAACTCCTACAGCTCTACCTGCAAATGCCTCTTCTTCCCACCAACCAGGTGAGCCCTTGGTGGGCAGATATGGGTCTAATTCATCTTCATATGCCTAACATATTGCTTTGAAAAAAGTAGGCAACTCGATAAATGTCTGTGGAACTATAGTTGGCATAATTCCATCAGAGAGAAATAGGAAGAAAGTCTAAAATGTGGCATCCGAGCCACAACTGAATCACCTCTTCTACCAGCATTTACTGTGATCCTTCAATGTCCCCTTCCATGCACTGGGGATTCAAAGACGAATAAGACACTGATAACACTGATTTGGGTAGGGAGCTCTAGTTGCAAGAATTGCCAAAAGAATGCCTGCAGGATGAATGGCTTGGGGGCTAAATATGAGGAATCTGCTTTGGTTTGTGGCTTCTACCATTGTTGACAGAGTCGGCCGCAGTGTGTGGTTTTGCTTTTCCCTCATGGACTGAGCGACGCCTGTATCCAGAACACGTCGCGCCATCCCTCACTGCTGACTCCTCAGTGCTGATGTCTGCTTTCCCAGCAGGACACGGCTTTACAACATCAGAAGCTGAGTATGAGGATAGGAGCAGAGTATCTCTTCATTCCACCTCCATCCAATTCTTAAGAGCAGCAAAACCAAAAAAACAACCCATGATGGGACAGACCACTGTTCTACCCAGTCCTGCATGCTGCCTCTGCTCATGGCTGGAAAAGCAGCTCTGTGGCAGAGCCACTGGGATGCTGCCCTTTCTAACTTGGGAGAGCCCCCAGGCACTGTAAACATCCCATATTCGATTACGGATCTGCTATCTAAGATCTTGTCTGCTTTCCTTCTTGCAATGCACAGCTTTAGCTTCCTCACCTTACAAGGTCCACAGCCCCTGTACAGAAAGAGGCCGAGTAGGTCTGAATTGATTAAAGACATTAACAAGAATACATTACTTGAACCAGTTGGTTAGTGGTGCAGGAGGAGACAGGTGGGGTCAGATATTTTAAAAATGAAAACTAAGTCAGTGGATAGAAAGTAACATTAATTAAATTGGGGTTTGGGGAAAAAGCAGCAGATCGACCATCCTGGGTCCATACTCTCCTTTTAAAGCCCAGGCGATAGCTGAGCCATCCCTGCCGTCTTTGAGAAGGGGCACGTATCCCCCGTTCACCGCAGTCCTGCCTCTCGATCAGCTCCTTCAGAGCGAGAGTCGGTCCAGCTCACTCACTTACATTTCCTGCCCAGTCCCAGCAGGTGCTGGAGTTGACAACCTCTGCCACAGGGAAAAGGGAAAAGGGAACCGCTACATTTAGCCCCACTGTTAACACCTTATCCATGTGCGATTCCATGAAGTGGCTGATTCTATCAGCGAGAAGTTCCGTTCGCCATTCCACTGTGATAACAAGACCTTAAGGTCACTTCATATTCTCAATGTGTACTTCCACATCTGCATGCTCACTCTGCTTTTTTATTGTTCATTCATTCTGAAATCATCTTCTTTGATATTCAAGAGATCCTCCTAGACTCAGGACTCCAGGATTTAGTGAACCTGTCTACTTTTCCCTACTCATTTCATAGATTTGGTCCTGCTCCCACTTCCACTGAGTCATCTTTAAAAACAAGCAAAATTCTTTTATAAAAAAGATCCCCCAACCTCTACTTTCAGCTGCTTAGCTCCTTGGCCATTTCCAAATTCATCATGTCTTCCGCAACACAGAGCAAGTAAAGAATTTCCGAAAGAAATTTTTCAAACAGCACAAGGAGCAGAGAATCTCACCTGTGGTGATCAGCATGAAGATAACTTTCTAAAATACTAAGGTGAGAACTAGGAAATCCAGGTATTTGTATACCCCTGGCTAATGCATCAATTCCCTCAAGAGGTAACCATAAAGTATTTATGATGTGTGGGTTTGTGTCCACTAGATGTCCATGATGCAACTCAAAAGCATGAGACTGAACGGTGCACTGGACTCTTCAAGGATAATGCTTTCTCTTTCACTCCTTGACCCCGACAAGGGCTTGGCTGGCTTTTACAAAGGCGGCGATGTTTCAGGCTAACATTGTCAGGAAGATTGGCACCATCTAACTGTGGTCCAGGGCCAAACACGTTCGACCAAGAGGAGCTTAGCTGTGGCTGCCTTCATTCTGGCATTTGCTGGACTGCATTTCCAGTGCCCCACTTAATGGTAAACATGGTCTACAGGTGGCCCAGATAAGAGAGAAAGATCCGTATTTCAAGCCATACTTTAGGTTGTGCATCACAACTTGGTCTGAATCCACATGCATGTTACCCTAGACAACAAAAGAGTTGTCTTTATACTGTGTCTAATTCTTGATCCATCAGCAGGTCACGTGGCCTATGATAAGTACCACTCAAGACACAGGATTTGTTTCTCTTTCAGGTCTTTCTTTTTGAAGAAACTTTTTTTTCTACAAAAATGTGCTGTGCATTTGTTTTCTCTTCCAACACGGCCCTCACCATGCCACAGGACAAACGAAATGGTCCCACCTTCTCACTTATTTTCTGTGTGTTCTTCCAGAGCGCCCACAATTACAGTAGCAACAGGCTGTTGGATGAATCAGTAGGTTGTCATGAAATTTGCAAAGTATACAGTTCAAATGGGTCGGGGCCGTGGGACTGGTTTAAGGCCTCCTGTTGTCCTCTGGGGTAACTTTGTGAAATAACCTCTGAGCCTGACACGACTTGGCATCACTGTGCAGATGAGAGGCAACGCGCTAAACACAGCGAAGACATCTACTGAGCCAACCTGATGAGCATGGACGCTGCTCCAGTCTCTCCCCCCAGAAGCTATCACTGGGCAGGCATGCTCCTTTGCTTTCTCTGAACAGCATAACAGAAACTTCTTTAAGCTCTGACTTTGCCAAAACCAGCTGGAATTACGGATGTCTGCTAATGGTACCCAAATATCCTCTCAGTCAATGGATGATAAGCACTAACATTTTAGAGAGCCACCATTAGAGTGCCCACACTGGCACTGCACCTTAGATTCTTTCCTGTAACAGGGCCTGATGCTGACGAGGTGTTAACCAATGACATCTTCCGCCTTTAACTGAGTCACTGTGGCCCACAAGATATGTAAAAAAAAAAAAAGCTATAAAATACTGATTTTACTCCTGGCCTGAGTCTCACTCTTTGCTGGCAATGAGATTAACCTAACACACTACAAAAATAAGTGTTAAATGAACAACTTTAGTAATTAGTAGCCATTATGGTAGAAATAGGAAAGAATCCTCTTTACACTTCAGATATCAGGAAGGTGTGCCCATGTTTGACAGAAGGAGCATCATGAATGGGGTTGGTACCTGGTATAGCAGGCACTGTCCCATGGGCACAGAGTGAGGTGCCAGAAATGACCTACTGTTCCCAGCATTAACCTTCGAATTGCTGGGAAGTTTGGAGTGGGGCAGGCAGGGAGGGGTTTTCTGGAGGAAAGACCAAGATAGCCAGAGAGCAAAGGGTCACTTATGGGGTTTAGGCAGTGCCTATTCACCAACCAGTACCAAAGTACTCCAATATTTTCACAAATGGTTAAACTGCTGCCTCAGCTGACTACCAGCCCTGGGTGTGATACATCAACATGTATCATGCTTGGTAAACCCAAATCAATGCTTGTTACTGGCCACTGCAATCGCTAATGATGGGACTGTACCACAGGCATGATCTTGCCAATGACCAATTAATTTCACTAGGAATTTCAGGCATGTTTCAAGGAGATGTGGGATTAAGCCAGTTAAAATATTCATCACCCAGCCATATACTTACGACCGCTGCAAAGATGTATTTCTGGTCTTTTTCTTGTAAAAATAGCAGCACATCAGTCAGGAGTAGAGCTAGGACATCTTCAAAGAAAAAAAAAACATCACTCATGTTAATGAAGCACATCACGGTTCAAAAGCCTTTAATTAGATACTTTGATTTCATGTTTAAATAACTTAAATAAACGTATTAAAAATAAAGACTACAACTTAGTCTAACTACAGAACTTCTATTAAAATGCTCATATTATGATAGCTAAAGATGTATTTTATCAACTTAGTAGGTAAGCTGTGTTTAAATGTGCGTGTCTGTGTGTCACTATAGGTACAGCTAAATCTTCAGCAAAATTTAATGCTATAGCTTGCAAAATGGAAGGAAAAATACCCAATATGAAAGAAGGTTCTAACAGAATGGAGCAAGCCCTTACCTTTCAGGGAAAAAGTACTTAATTTAAAATGTTCGGGGGCAGCTTCTGCCTTGTTACTATATACTAATCTGCTGTCTCCTTCTGTCTAGATCTGAGGGAAGTCTGAGATCCTGTACTTCCTTTCCGTACTGTTCACAAGAACCCATCTTCACTGCACCACCACACATTCTAACACAGTTACCAAGCTGTTCATTCTACAAAATAGATTAAAAGCAAAGCAAAACAAAACAAATAACTTGGAGCAATAGGGTCTACAGACTGTAGTTGATATTTCAGTTGTGGTCAACATTCTGCTTGTGGTGAATATTCGATTGCAACATTGCAAGGTGCTGATCAACAAATCCCATTTCAGTCATCTGTTGCCACCACCACAAAAACTGGATAACCCTCCAATGGAATTCGAGCACCTAGAATTTAACAACCTCTTTCTCTCATTGCTTGCCTCAGGAAGTTACTAAGATGTATGAGACCCAGGAGACCAGGCCAGTGGTTCTGAAGCCTGTTGCACCCTCACCTGGGTGCTGTTAAGCATCCCTCTGCTTGGGCTTCATCCCCACACCAGTAAAAATCAATCGCTGGGAGAAGACTTGAGCATCAGTAAAATTTTTAAGCTCCAAAGGCCATTCTAGGCTTTTAAGTCCAGTGGCCAGGGCTGAGAAAGCCTCAGGCAAGATGCCAGCTTACAGAATCAGCCCTTGATGAGTGGAATAAAGTGTTTCAGACTCCAGCCAGAGTGACAGGTAGGGTAGTGCCCGACAGCAAGCAGCACACCAATGTCAGCATGTGTATTTATGTATGATTTTACTCTGCATATTTATGCGTTGAATCACCCAGCACTAGAGGTGCCGTTCAGAGTTCATTTCTCGCCTTGATGGTCTGAGCCCCAGGCTGGCTTGGCACACAACAGACTCTGGGTGTTTCGGCATACCGCCTCATTTTCAACACACCACATCTGCCAGAATAATATTTCCGTGCCAACAATGAGCAGAGTTCTCAGTTCCTTTGATTCAAACATCGCAGGCACACAACGCATAGGAAGCCTTCTGCTCAGGGTAGCAAACCCCCTGCAGAGGTTTGTAGCTGGGCCACCTCTGTCTACTGAAGTTCCCAACTCAATCCTACAGGAACCTTTCCTCTCACCCAGGTCTGCGTGTGTGCCTGCATCGCTGAACACTTATCTCCTGAAAATCAGTCCTCTGTTAAGTGAATAACATGCGTGAAAGAGGGAGAAACTGGTTTGTGAGAGCCACGGTACCTTTGAAACGACCCGTAGCCGTTTTCCAATAAACAAGGCCGTCATACAGCAGGGTCCTCTCTTTACTCATCAGCGTCTGCTTCCTAAACACATGGCCGTTCTTGAGCTTGGTGTATGTCTTGTTTTCGATCTTACTTAGGATCTCAAGCCATTTTTGTTTTTCTCATATTCGCTGACTTTTAAATCCACGGCTGCAATCATGTCTTTAATTAAGCCAAGAGCTTTGCATAAGTCTTTATGTTCTTCAGTGTTCTCTGTGTGGGAAAAAGAACAAACACTATGCAAACAACCAGAGTGCTAAGGAAGACACTTTTCCTGTAGTTTTACTACAGTTAAATATATCATCCAAATTGCAGAAATCCCACAACAAAAATACTGGATTAAGTTCAAATAGTCTGTTATCACTCTGAACCCCTCCTTCCCAAAAGGATGGTTGAAAATGTAATAATTAAGGAGATTTACTTATGCGATGCTTCCACTGAAACACTATAACAGTGCAATGTCTGAGTTCTAGACACCTGTCTGACCTTCTTCCCTAGAGCAGGGAATGTGTTACAACCCAGGTTAGACCTTCCTTCCACCTTCCAGAGACAAGTAATCAAGTAACCCCCACACCAAGTTTCTTAGAACTTACCTGAGCTGGAGTCCTTTCACAAAAGGCAGTTGCAGGGTGATGTGAACAGGCCCCAGGCTCAGTTGCCTTTCTAGAGTCCTCGCTCCATAAAAACTAATACTCAAAATTATATTTTACCATTGCATTAGCATAAAGATAAATATTTTAATAATAGATAGTAAAACATTTTTTTCACCCTAAAAAAATGGGACCAAGCTACTGTGCTGAGTCAGCCACACTCATGCCAACAGGGTAGATCATCGATTCCAGCTCTTATTCTTTAAAATACTGGCCATTTCTCTTCTCTCTAGATTAGCTTAAGGAAAATTTTGGAGGAGTTTCTGGAAACAGCCTCCTGGAGCTCCAGATGAAACTAAATTTAGCTATTGTCTATGTCTGATTGAAAAAAAAACTAGTTGATGTTTATTGAGATGAATGGAACTGAAAGGGAGAGTTTCAGAAGGTTAGAAAACGCTAGGAGAGAAGAAAAGAAAAACAGCAGAGAAAACAAAAGATTCTCTAGAGCCTAGAGCAGCAGAAATAAACATGCAGAAACAGCAGTGAAATGGAGTAAGAACAAGTCCTCCAAAGGGTCTAACGCCTGGGCTTAAATGTATTAAATAGACACTCGAGGGCTTTGTCAGAAAGCCAAGGAACAGATGGGGATGCCCATGGTTAACAAGGAAGACGTCCTCCCTGCCCGTGGAAGAATGTCCTGCCCTCCCTTCACTACTTCACCCACCTGCCGCCCAACCAAGCAGCACCCCTGCCTTCAAGAACAGTTTCTCCTTCTAAAGAGCCTATTTCATGTATAGGAAAGCTGAGTAGAGAAAATCAAAGGTGAGTTACCAGCTGACTTAAACTAAGACCAAGAAAAGGCTCAAGTCTTGTGACCTTCAGGGAAAAACAACTGTTTTGTAACAGCGTGCAGCTCCCAGGGCAGCAGCGTGGGGTCACCTGGGAGTCCTGTTAGAAACGCTTACCTGGGGTTCTACCCCAGACCCACTGAGTCGAAGTCTGCCTGTAGACAAGATCCCCAGGCGAAGGGTATTCCTAATAAAGTTCAAAAAGCGTGGCCATAATAGAGCCATGGAGCCGATGTTCCCAGAAGCCAGAGAGACAGCTGGTTGGAAAGGTCTGACCTCACTAAGGAGGCAGGGTCCATTCAGACACTCTGACGGCTATGCCCGAGGAGCCACAAGTCACACTTCATCGGTGCCACACAGCAGGCAATCTCTACTATGCACTCCACCTGGAATTCGGCGTGGGGTGACTCAACGGAGCACGAGCTGACCTAACACAATCGGACCAAAGTTAGTCTCTGAGGTATCGTATTAAACTTAATCTCAATGCAAACTGCAAGTCTTAATTTTGCTTTCATTCTTTTACTGAGAACAAAATTATGAGGCTTTTCTCTTTACATAGTGCTTATATTTTCTTTTATGTTAAATTATAGGAAGCAGTACAAATGGGACGTAAGGAATAGACGCTACCGTTCCTGCCTGAACTTAAGTCCTAATGTGACTAAAAACATGGACAGACTATATCATGCATTTCTCCTCACCTAGACCGCTTCCAAAAAAAAAAATGATGTTAGAAGTTGACTTTTTTAGAGTGGGCTCTTAAAATCTCATTACCATGTTCAAGATGTCCAAATCAAAGGATCAGAATAAAGATAATAAAAACAGCTTCTACTTATCAAGCACTTTGTTTATAACCAGGCTGTGTATTGGGCAATTTCTGAGATAATCTCATTTAATCTTCACAACAATTCCATAAGATGAGGATTATTCTCATTTGTAGTGGAGAAAATTGAGGTTCATTTCATTAACTTGCCCAACAAATGAGTGGCAGAGCCAAGTATCTGCAATGGCAAAGCAAGTGCACAGGATGCCACACCCAAGCCCCTGTTAACACAGCACATGACCACCCTAGTAATTTACTCAAGATCAGTACACTAGCTTGAGGAATAGGCATTTTCACCCATCCATTCATTGCACTGTTATATTTTTTTATTGAGAGCCTATTGTGTACCAGCCACTGCACCAGGCACTGCATCTAGACCCACAAGGAGCATACAGTCCAGCCACGTGCATTAACAGCTTCTTAAAGTGTACCCAGATGTTGGTTCCTGAGCTGGATGAATTGTCAGGGTCAAAAAAGGCTCCTTTAGGAAGCATTCTCAGTCTAAGAATTCACTGCTTGGGAGAGGTGAAGCTCGATCGCACGTTTCATCAGACTGCTGGGAAGGTAACAGCAAGATGAAGAAGTAGAGGTATGAAGGACTGGGTGTGGGAAAAGCAGAAGGGAAGGGCGGGGTCAAAGTATGAGGAAGCCTTCTTGGTTTGGGCTGCTTGGAGGAATGCAGACTACTGGCCAAGCCACATTATGAAAGACAATTTTTCAAAATGGATCTGAATCCTAAGGCTTTACCGTTTTTCCATAATGAAAAATCTTTATGAATCAGAGGCCACAATCATTTATAGCTGTTTACAACAGCTCAGTTACGTTGAAAACTAATGGAAGAGGCAAATGTTTGTCCCAGAAGTCATCACTCACCCTTACTGTACTGCAATATCCTTTCCACCAAGACAGGGTATTTTGTGATGCGCTGAGTGACCAGCAGAATGCATTCTGGAATTCCTCGCCTTCGAGCCAAAAGATTACTGTTTCGGAGCTTAAAATATATAAAAATATATAGTTTTTTTAATATATGTAAACTCTACCTGTATTTTCTTTTTAGGTAGGAATTGAATAATACAGAGAATCTACAATAGTATAATTCTATTCAGATATAACATGTATTATCATTAATTAAAATTTGATATATTATCACTAAATTGTACACTTTGTCATTAATTTCAATAACCCAACTCCCCAAGATTGAGAAGTTTCAAGCTACTCTGATGTATCTATGTATTTAATTCCAAAAATGAGCAAAATTTAATACTTGTAAGTGCTAAGATTCATGAAAAGCAACCGTTTTGAAAAATACTCAGAAATCAAAGTCAGATTTTGAACATGAGTGTGCAATTAACTATTTATTTTTCCAATAGATTTTTCTCTACATTTCTTATTATTCATCATAGCACTTAAAATTTCCTCTACACAGGACAGTATTTTTCTAAAAATCTCAAAATATTCTTTGCAAGTTCTCAATACACACATATGTTAAAAAAGAAAAAAAAAGGAGGTAGCATTCTTAAAATGGTAGATAAAAACATTAGAATCCATGATATTCTAAAGGACAAGTTTCTTCAACAAGTAAGTTGCCCCCCTCCCTAAAAATGGGATGGCAACATTCAATTTAAAGGCAATTTAAAAAGACATAATCCCCACATACAATACATGAACCCTGGTCAGATCCTGATTTAAGCAATCCAATTTTATGAGATAACCAGGGAAATGTAAACACTGATGCGCTGTTTGAAGGTATTAAATAATGTATTATTGTTAATATAAGTGTAATAATGCCATTGTAATTTTTAAAAGATGTATGGTTTAGAGATGTAAGTTACATATGAAATGATGTACATCACACATTTGCCTCAAACTCATCTGGTGCGGATAGGGTAGATTCTTTATTTTTCTCTGGTTCTTCCAATTTGTAACTTGTCAGGGCCTGAAACAGCTTCATCGGATATTACAAAGGTACCCTTTGGAAGTTTGGAGAACATGACTTCACAAATATAAGATACAAAAGTAAATGATTTTGGAGAAATATTCTACTAGCACAGAAAAAGAGAGTATCTTTGCCATAAAACTATCATTTCCTTCCTCCCCGAAAAACAGCTTCTAGATGTGAAACTTGGTTAGATCATGTAAGAAACAAGCAGAAGCCTCATGCAGGCTTACCATTAAAACAGAGTTTTAAAATACTTGCCTTAATAAAATTCTGAAACTTTTTATTCTGCTGGAGTTCTTTAAAGAGGCTAACAGCCTCTTTGTGGTGGCTACAGAATTCTCCATATATTTTCTTCATTTTATTTGCATTTTCTTCTGAAAACTGAAAAGAATAACATTTCAATGATGGTTTATAAATTTAGTTCTAAACACTAAAAAGAACATACAATTTTCATATATTTTAATATATTCTTTGCAAACAAAGAATAAACATCCTGGAATTTCTGACAAAAATCACTTCTCTTCCCTGAAAACTTTTTAAATTAAAATAAGAGGTAGTAGTCAACAGTTAAGAGGGCAGGTGGGTACAGCTCAGTGCATGAAGTCCTGGGTTCAATCCTCAATACCTCCATTAAAAAAAATTAAAAATAATAAATACAATTTTTTTAAAAAAGAGTTAAGAGGAAGACATCAATCTAATGTGATTATATTATATTGAAATAACTCACTTTTCAACAGTCAAATGAAAAACATTTGATGTATTTTTTATGTGTTTGTGCAACTTTATAATTTCGATTTATAGTTTTAATACTTTTATAGATTGAAGGAAGGGAATGGGGCAATGTTTGGGGATTCTCAGAAAGGCTGACATTTACAGTGGCTAACTGATCGTGTCCATGAACTCATTCCTCAGCTTGGGAATTTGATTTTTGTCATCACAAATGGATCAAGAGGCAGGTTATCATTAACCAAGATGACAGAGAAAGGTGAGTAATCAGAAGGCAAATTTATTAACTGAAGGACACATGTAGAGATGTGAGCTGGATACTTCATTACCATGACTTGTAGAAAATTCCACATGGGAACCAACTTGACATCATAAGGGGATATGGAGAGAATTAGCTGAATTATTTAAATGCCAATATTTTCAGACTCTGACAACACTGTGTACGCATGTCCATGTTGAAGATCACTGCAACAGAAACCAGACCACACCTACACCCCCTTAGAAAGTACTTAACATTTACATCACTACCTCTGGTCTTGTCAACTTCGCATAGTTTTATCTACGCTCAAGGCCAATATATCTCAAGAGATGATCCTTAAACCACCAACAATAATACTTAGGTACAAATTGAGTAAAACATACACAGGCCTTGTATGCTGAAACAACACAATGCTAGTGAAAGAAACCAGAGGATTTAAATAAGCATACCATGTCCACAGAATGGAAGATCCAACAGTGTAAAGATGTCAATTCTCCCCAGATTAATATACAAGTTTAATACAATTCTTTTCAAATCCCAGCAAGTTTTTTTATAGACATAGAGAAAATTATTCTAGAATTCATATCAAAAGGTAAAGGAGCTAGAATAGCTAAAAACAGTTTTGAAAAAGAATAAAGCCTATTCAATTTCAAGATTATTTAACTACAGTAATAGTAACTGTGGAAGGATACACACGGGTCAGTGGAACAAAATAGGAACCCAAAATGCCCAACAGATTTTGACAAAGGGCAAAAGCAATTTATTGGAGGAAGGACAGCCCTTTAAACAAATGAGACCGCAGCAACTGAATATCCAAGACCAAAAAAAAGAACCTCAACCAAAGTCTCATGTCTTATACAAAAGTTAAGTCCAAATGGATCACAGACTTAAATGTAAAACGTAAAAGTATAAAATGTTTCAGAAAAAACACAGGAGAAAACCTTTGGCATCTCAGACTAAACAAAGAGTTCTTAGACCTGAAGACCAAAAGCACGATCCTTAAAATGAAAACCTGACATGTTGACCTCACCAGAACTACAGAAGTTACAGACTTAGAGAAAATATTTGCAAACCATATATCTGACTGAAGTCTAGTATCTGGAATATATGAAGAAATATCAATACTCAACACTAAAAAAAAATCCAATTAGAAAATGGGCCAAAGACAAGAACAGACATGTCACCAGAGAGGAGATACAGATGGCACATAAGCACGTGACAGACGTCCATCATAAGCCACTGGGGAATTGTGATTTAAACCACAAGGCGACATCACCACACCCCTCTCAGAACAGTTAAATCAAAAACAGTGACAACACCAAATGCTGGCGAGGAGGTGGGGAAACGGGATTACCTGTACATTGCTGATAGGAACGTAAAATGGTACACGGAAAAACAGCTGGCAGTTTCTTAGAAAACTAAACATGCTATTATCAACCACACAACCCAGAAACTGCGCTCCCAGGCACTGATCCTGAAGAAATGAAACCTTAAATGTGCACACACATCTGCATGTGATTGTTAATAGAAGCTTTATGTGTAATAGCCCCAAACTAGAAACAACCAGACGCCCTTCTACAAGTGAATGATTAAACAAACTGGGGAACATCCATACCAGGGTATACAAGCCAACAATAAAGAGGAATGAAGTAGTGTCATATGCAGCCATCTGGATGATTGAAAGAACTGTGCTAAGTGGGAAAAAAAAAGCCAGTGCAAAAGGAACGTACTGTGTCTATAATCTATATAACGTGTACAATTTATATAACATTTCTGAAATGGCAGAATTATAGAAAGAGAGAAGAGATTAGTGGTCGCCAGGAGTTGGGGACAGGAGGGAAGTAGACGTGGCTATAAAATGGCCAGAGATGAGGAATCCTTGTGGCAGCAGAAATGATCTGTATTTTTGCTGTATCCGTATCAGGATTCTGGCTGTGGCACTGTGTTACAGTTTTTAAGACATTACCAGGGGGGGAGAAATAATTCTAAAATGCCAAATCCCAGACCCAATCCTACCAAACACCACCCTAGGGGTTGGGAGCACACGATCTGAACAAGCTTCGCGAGGTTCCCAGGTACTGGAAGTTGGGGGACGACTGCTACACCCCAACCACGTCCCACAGGCTCGCAGCTCCTCACCCACACTCCACGTTCCCGCTGACTCAATCCCAGCCTCGCCTCCTGAGAGCCTCCTGAGTCTCCGAGGTCAGAGTGGGGGGCTTCCCCAAACTCTCTCCTGCACCTTTCAACGCCTTGTTCTTCCTCGGCTCCCACAGAGCGCCACACCCACAGCCGCTGTCTGAGAAGTTTGCTAATAGGTTCTTCAGGAAATGTGCCCGAAGGAATCCCTTGCCACACCCACTAAGCATGCTCGCCCACAGGAACACAAAAGCAGACTTAATCCTTTTCTCTGAGTACTGAGGATCTACCCCAGTGCTTCATCTAAAAGACCGCCAGGCTCACCCTGTGCAACAGCCAGCTTCCCAAACCTCGTTCTCAACTGCAGCCTTGCTGTTGTCCACACAAATTAAATAAAAATATAACGTAGAGATGTGAAGTTTTTGTTAGCTATGAAAGTGACGTAAGAACGAAAATGTTTTAAGTGACTAGAATTAAAACAATGATTGTTTGGATCAAGGAGAGAGATGGACTCAAATACTTTCAAATGGTAAAATAATCCTGCTCTTCACTTTGGAATGCACTCAGATTCAAGGTCACAAAGACACATTCAGACATTTTTATTCAAACTGTCTTGCAAAGTGCTGTACAGCCTCTGAACCTGGCACTGCATATGCTTCAGGCAAATTATGAAGATAGAGCAGATCTAGGATTTTAAAGATAATGTGCAAATCAGATAGCGCTTTGACTAGAAACTCATTACTAAGGTGGATTTTATGCATTGTTAGGCAAGTGGAAGTAGATTTTGGGCAATTGTTACAGTTTTATTTTTCTTTTTGTGCATTAAAAATATTTGTATTTAAGCATATTTCTATTATTGAACTTAACTCCCCAATTTTTGGCATACAGCCCAAAAGCTGACCTCCACTGGTGTGTGTCACAGGGTGAAACTGATACAAAATTAATATTCTGGAGATGACATTTTGGCGTCTACCCAGAGAAAACCAAACTAAGGTAACTAGAGATGACTCTCCAAGCCTTTCCTCAAAAGCTATAAGCGACTGCAAAACATAGCACTGGAGTGAATTCCTAGCATTTTACTCAAGTGACCCACTCATTCGATAAACATTTATAGTACCAAGCACCGTTCTAGGTGCTGAAATACAGTAGCAAAACAAACAGATGAGACTCCCTGCATTACTGGGACTCAGAGACTAGCAATGGTGGAAGGTTTCCCCAGAATGAATGTCCCTGCGATATCTCAAGACATCATATTCTCAGCTCAAATCCCAGTTATGCCACTTATGAGATGTGTGAACCTGAGAAAGTCATTACTTCTCCATGCCTCGGTTGTAGGGAAAATAATGTTTACTTCACTGTATTGTGAAGGTTAAGTGAGACAATATGGTGGAAGTACCTTAAAAGTGCTGCCTGTTGTATTAAGGTCTCTGGATACATGTCACTTAACTTCTGTGTTAGTGTGTTTTAAATGGAGAGCCGCTTTCAGAGAGATCAGGGGGCCAATACAAATTGTCAAAAGTAAGTTGTTTGTTCGTTTGTTTTTTAATTAGGAGAGTGGCACAGCCCATTCTCACTGATGTTTCAAGCATCCCAAGCACTAAGAAGAGCCCCCTTTTAGTGAGATTTGCTTGTCTTATCCCCCAGACATTAGCTCCAGGGCCTGAATGATAATAGATCTGCCTCACTCCTCCTGAAATGAGCCAGTGTTCATCCTGCAGGTACTGGTGGGACTATCATGGGCCCGGGGGGAAGCATATTATGAGAGAGACCACCACATCCAGAAGTTTAAGTCAGCTTCCATAGGGAATTCCTTTATGGCTGTGCCTCCTGCCGGAGACAGAGACAGGGCGAGGGATGGATGATACTGCCAAGTCCTGTGGCGCACAGAGGGGTCAGTCACCGGCTGTCTCAGACATCGGTCATATGTACCAGTGCCAAGGAAAAGAAAACCAGCCAAACCTGTCAAAAATCATGAGACCAATTCCACTTCTCCGTAGGCTTGAACACTCCAGAGAGCCTGCAACTTTTAGGTTTTGAGGTTTTAGGACCTTTAAACCTTTCTTACTTGTTGGACTAGAATATCGCCAATTCGGTTGATGATGAAATTCCTGTCGCTGCCAGCACCGGATTCCTGCCTTCGCTCCTTCATACTATAGAAGAAATGCCTGTGGATTTCGAGTAACTCATCTAAACAGGGGAAGATTTTATCCACGGTGCTGTGGTCAAGCTGCAGCTCCTCTTTCATCCCCTTCCGGAAGACCTCAGACATGATGAGCAGGGTCTGGATGTGGTGCATCTCTGTCTGCATTAGCTCTGAAACAGGTGAGCAGAAACACGCTTTAAAAAAACAGGCATCCTTGGAGGTTAACTGGACTTACGGTGATCATCTTGCAGTTTATACAAATATCGATTCATTATGTTGTAACCCTGAAACTAACATAATGTTACATGTCAATTATACCTCAAGTTTTAAAAAGTATTCCTATTGACCTAAATTAGTATGACCGCCACCTCACACAGGTGATAAGGGGCCCTCCTCACCACAGGACTTTGTGACACACACAGGATTAGCGCAAACTAAGAGCTAGTTTCATCTTTAAAGCAAGGTATCTTCTTGGAGCCACTTTTGAGCATTTACTTCATACTTGAAAAAAAAATTTTTTAATTGAAGTATAGTCAGTTACAATGTGTCAGTTTCTGGTGTACAGCACAGTGTCTCAGTCATGCATACACATACATACATTCGTTTTCATATTCTTTTTCATTAAAGGTTATTACAAGGTATTAAATATGGTTCCCTATGCTTGAAAATTTTTTAAACTTCATTTTTTCCTAACTAGTCTATAATTTGGCTTCCCCTAATTCAGCCTGCCTTCACCCCAAATAGCATGACACCATAAAACCTCCCATGGCTGAACTCTGTACTCAGACCGCAGCACAATCTCACAGGGCCCTCATCCGGGTGCTGCCAGTCCCACTGCATCCATATGAGCCACAGTCCCCAGTGCGTGCAGGCAAACTGCTGGGCCACGCATGCAGCAGGCCTGTCTACCCCACCTTAAAACACATGAAAATTCACTGTGATTCTTAAAATAGAGGAGGTAAAAGAGTACAGGCCGTGCCCAAGTAAACTTGGAAAGGGAGTAAGAAGTAACACTTGCTTTGTACCGGGTACACGCAATGCCTTACTTAAGCCTCAGGGCATTTTAGTCCTGAGTATCAGTATTCCCATTTCACAAAAGGAAAAGCTGAGGTCCAGGTGAGTGAAGTCTGAGCTCAAGCAACTAGGAAAGGGTGGAGTTGGGATCTGAACCCAGGTTTGAACCTAGGTCTGTATGGTTTCAGATCCCAAGCTCTTCCCTCTGCACCACACTGCTGCAGCCCAAGTCCGAAATGCTTACCAAAAATGACATCCTGTCTCTTGATGACATCCTTCTCCTGCCGACTACAAAACGAGGGGTCCACCACCAGACTCCAAGATTCTGCTTCGAACTCCTGGGCGTCACCGCTGAGGTCACGCCACATAGATGAATCCACGACATCAACTGTGTGTTGAGAAGAGAAAAGAAAAGCCAGAAATGGGGCAACACACGTGACACAAGTGGACCCGCACACGTGCCCACTAAAAAAACCCCCATGAACACAGAAACAACTAAGCCAAAATATTGTTGACGTGAGTCAAAACATCTGAGACCAAACCAGTGAAATGGTTCAAATCAAGACCTCTCTCAAGAAGGCAAAGCAGAATCAGGTATTAAAACATTGACACTGTATAAGCGGAAAAAAAAAAAAGAAGAAGAAGAAGGAGATGATTCTCTTGTTTGTTTGTTTTGGCTTGCTCTATTTTAGTTTTATTTTTGGCAACCTGCAGAGTCCACAATGTGCTTACAGAATCTTGAAGCCACTGATTTCTTTTGCCACAGGTTACTCTGCACTGTTTACTCAAAGCCGAATTTAGTGCGTGTCCACTTGGTTTGCCCTCGGTTGCTGTCCTTAACATGAACGCGCGGCAGGGGATAAGGTGAAGTGTAGGTCACGAGTGAGTACAGCTCTTTCTGACAGACTTTGGCAACACACATACACACCCCTCTAAAGAAAACTGAATCCTCTTTGTCCAAACAGCAATCCTTAGAGAGATTCCAGCTCAGAGAAGTAGAGACACAATGACAGTGGATTTGAAATAAACCGATTCCGAGGGAAGAGCCCACTCCTCTCTCACCACTACCCCTTTCATTTGCTTCTCCTTCACTTACTGGTACAGCTGGGGTACAATAAGCATTCCCCAGATTGTCCTATCCTACAACATGTTTGTTAAAAATGCTTTTATCCCCCTCCAGAAGTAGGAGGCCACAGATGGGGATAAGGATCTCAGAGATGCAGGCAAGTCCATCTTAAGTAACTGAAATATATATGTTGTAATGTCCGATCCTATTCCAATTCATCAACAGCTATAAAACTTTTCAAAAGAAAAGCAAGCACACGTGTATTTCTTTTTCTTCATTATGTTTATGATACAGTTTGGGGGGAATAAGATCATTTTAAAAAATACATCATGCTTCCTTGGTCACTACCTGGGAGTTTCCTCTGGGGCTAAAGTTTTATTCTTCTTATCAGAAGAACCTGTACCTAAGATACACCATCAAATAAAATTCTTTTAAAAAGAACAAAAGAGTACTTTTCAATCTTGTATCCCTCAGAAAACATTCCTTTTGGCAAATGCTTACACAAACACTAGTAAATGCAAGCGTGTCTTCTCCTCACCTTCCATTAAGAAGGAGTCCGTGGAGGGAGACGAGCCCATGGGCTGGAACACTCATCGGAATGCGACCTGCTTCTCCAGGTGCTCCCGTCACTCTCGGACTCCAGGGACATCCCTGACCTCCTGAAGCTGGAGGGACAGAGAGAAGAGTCAGCCCTGCAGTGGCCCTGAGACGTCAAGGTGTGAAGCCTCCCTGAGCCTTACCTTTCGAAGGTGGTGCCAGGAACGCTTCTGGACAACGGATGGACTTGCCCTGTGGTTTCCTTCCTCCCAGCCGGCAGCCCGATCGGCATGGAGGCGGAAGGGTGCAAGGAGGGACCAGGCAAGGGGCCGTCTCTAAACGAAGAATCTGGAAATCAGAATGGATGCTTCATGCAGTTTCCATAGAGGGCAGTAATCCCAACGAGCAAGGGCAGTCACGTAAAAGCCAGAAAGCTGAGCACTCCAACAGCCACTTCTACTGCGTCACAAGCCCAGCCTTGAAACCAGCCTCCCTGCCACATCCCGACACCTGCTCTAAATGTCCCTTCCATTGCACAGCCTCCTGATACCCAAGCCATAGGCCTGCTTGAGCATATCCACCTGGAGACTGTGGGCGGCCGGGATTATACAAACAAACAAGAAAAAGGAATGGGGAAGCGCTGGGAATGCCTGCCCATAAAGCACTGCTTGTGTCCCTCCGAGCCAGCTTTGAACAGATGCAAGGTGTTATTAGCGCTGCTGGTAGAACGCACACTGTGTG